CCTTCAGGAATGAAGGTTTGGGTTGCCCCACCATGCAAAGAACCACAACCGGCTAAGGTGTTTGTTGAGGGCAAAGGGAATACGGAATGGGTGATAGAAGAAGGTAGTTCTAAACCAGTTACGGCCACCTGACCAGTTGGAGAAATGAGGACCGTAATTGTTATGATTGTTTCTGCTTTGTATGTGTGCATCAAATATTTTTGTTTTCTTCACTTATAAAATATAAGATTTAAACGGGCCTAGTACTTTTTCGGTTGTACACGTGTTAGTTGTATCATGTTAGGCAAAAGTATAACTTTGTAATTGTCTTTATTCAGAGATTATGTATGATTTAAGGAGATGTATACATGTGCCAAGTCGACAAGGGGTGGGCTATGATAATTAAGATTGTTTGTCAACTTGGCTGGGCCATGATTCTCAGTGTTTATATGTGATTACTCCCATGATGGGATCTGCTGTGAGTAGCCAATCAGATGAAAGGAATTTTCCTTGGGATGTGGCCTGCATCTGAATATAAGCAGACGTTCTGGCTTTTTGCTCACTGTGGATCCTGTGGCTGCCTCCTGTTCTTCGGACCTCTGGTTCTTGGGATTTGAGCCATCAGCCTATCTGCTGATGTTGGGGTTCACTGATCTTCATAGCCTATGAGCAGAGCCCTGCTCTCCCACCTGCCGATCTTGGGTTCACCAGCCCCTGCAGCTACGTGAATCAGGAGAACCCTCTATCCTAATCCACAGACTTGGGACGTTCCAGCCTCTACAATCGCATGAGCCATTTCTTTGATATAAATCTCTCTCTGTATATACTTATATGCTTTACTGGTTTTGCTTCTCTAGAGAACCCAGCCTAAGACAATGCCCTTTATTTTTCTTCCTTATTGCTCTAGCTAGGACTTTTAGCACAATGTTAAATAGGAGTGGTAATAAAGGGCATCCTTGTCTTGTTCTCTTTCTCAGGGGAAATGCTTTCAGCCTCTCTCTGTTGAGAATGATGTTAACTGTTGGTTTTGTAGATGCCCTTTATTATGTTGAGGAATTTCCCTTCTATCCCTATTTTGCTGAGAGTTTTTGTCAGGAATGGGTGTTGGACTTTATCAAATGCCTTTCCTGCATTGATTGAGATGATTACATGATTCTTTTGTTTTATTTATGTGGCAGATTATTTTAACTAATTTTCTAATGTTGAACCATCCTTGCATACCTGATATGAATCCCACTTGGTCATACTATATTATTTTTTTGATATGCTGTTGAATTCTATTGGCTAGAATTTTGTATCTATATACATGAGAGATATTGGTCTGTAATTTTCTTTTTTTGTGGTGTCTTTACCTAGCTTTAGTGTCAGGGTTATGTTGGCTTCATAGAATGAACTTGGGAGTATTCTTTCCTTTTCTATGCGCTGAAATATTTTGAGTAGTAGTGGTGTAAGATTTTCTGTAAATATTTGGTAGAATTCTCTAGTGAAGCTGTTGTTGTTGTTGGGAGTTTTGTTTTTAATTACCTCTTCAATCTCTTCTCTTGTTATGGGACTGTTCAGATTTTCTATCTCAGCTTGTCTTAGTTTAGGTAGGTAGTGTATTTCTAGAAATTTTTCCATTTCCTCTAGGTTCTCAAATTTGTTGGAGTACAGTTTTTTGTTGTATTCTGTTATGATCCTTTTTATTTCAGTTGGGTCTGTTATAATGTCCCCCATCTCATTTCTTATTTGGGTGATTTGCTTCCTTTCCTGTTTTTCTTCTGTCAATATAGCCAGCCAATAGTTTGTTGATTTTGTTGATCTTTTCAAAGAACCAACTTTGGTCTTGTTGATTCTTTCTATTGTTTTTCTGTTCTCTACTTCATTTATTTCTGGCTTTAATCTTTATTATTTTATTTCTTCTGGTGTCTGTGGGCTTCTTTTGCTGTTCTCTTTCTATTTGAGTTGTACGGCTAACATTTTGTTTTGGCCTATTCTTTTTTGATGTGTGCATTTATTTCTATAAGTTGACGTCTGAGCACTGCCTTTGCTGTATCCCAAAGGTTTTGGTATGCTGTGTTTTCATTCTTATTTGATTCTAGGAATTTTTTTATTCCCTCTTTGATTTCTTCTATTACCTAGTTGTTTTTAAACAAGGTGTTATTCAGTTTCCATGTATTTGACTTTTTATCCTTGCTCTTCCTGTTATTGATTTCTACTTTTATGGCATTGAGAGAATGCTTTGTATTATTTTGATGTTTTGGATTTTATTGAGGGTTGCTTTGTGGCCTAAAATATGGTCTATTCTGGAGAATGTTCCATGTGCATTGGAAAAGAATGTATACTTTGCTGCTGTTGAATGGAGCATTGTATATATGTCTGTGAGGTCCAGTTGGTCAGTTTTGGCCTTTAGATCTTGTATGTCTCTGTTGAGTTTCTTTCTAGATGTTCTGTCCTTTACTGAGCGTGTTCTATTGAAGTCTCCTACTATTATTGTGGAACTGTCATTTTCTCTTTTCAGTGCTGTTAGAGTTTGTTTTAGGTATTTTGGGGCCCTGTCATTGGGTGTGTAGATATTTATTAAGGTTATGTCTTCTTGCTGGATTGTCCCTTTAATCTTTATATAATGTCCTTACTTGTCTTTTGTGGTTGATTTTGCCTTAAAGTCTATTTTATCTGAGATTAGTATTGCCACTCCTGCCCTTTTATGGTTACCATTTGCTTGATATACTTTATTCCATCCTTTGACTTTTAATAAAACTATGACTTTATGTCCAAGATGTATCTCTTGTAGACAGCATATTGATTGGTCATGTTTTTTTTTAATCCATTCTGCCACTCTCTGTCTCATAATGATGTGTATAAACCATTTGCATTCAGTGTGATTATCGATAAGTATGAGTTTATAGCTGTCATAGTGTGCTTTTTTTTTTTTTTTGGTGGTGCTGACATTTTCTTTGTCTTACTCTCCTATGGTGAGTTCCTTTTGTTTGTAGATTTTCTTTCATTATTGTAGATTTTGTGTTTATTGAATTCTTATGTTTTTCTTCTGATGAGTAGGTTTATTAAGTTTCTTTGTTACCTCTAAATTTACCCTTATCTTTCTAAGTTTGAACCAGTCTTTTATTACTTGATATAGTCTTGACTTCCTCTTCGTTTGACAGTTCTATACCTACGCTGTTTATTCCCCCTTTTATCATTTTGACATTGTTATCTTTTACAGATTGACGTCTCTGTTTCCCTGTTTTAAGTTTTTTCACTTTGTTTCATTATTGAGTTATTTATCTAGATTGGTATCTCGCTGATGCTGTCCTCTGTCCTAGACTCCAGATGTTATCTGGTGTTGTTGGTTGTCTAACAGAAGGACTCCCTTTATTATTTCTTGTAAGTTTGGTTTGGTTTGGGTGAATTCCCTTAATTCCTGTTTATCTGGAAATGTCCTAATTTCACCACTGTATTGAGAGAGAATTTTGCAGGATATATTATTCTTGGTTGGCAGCTTTTTTTCTTTCAATATTTTATATATGTCATCCCACTGCCTTCTTGCCGGGATAGTTTCTGCCAAATAATTAGAGCTTAATCTTATTGTTTCTCCTTTGTAATTGACTTGATTTTTCTTGAGCTACTCTCAGGTTTCTTTCTGTCTTTGGTTTTGGCAAGTGTGATTATGATGTGTCTTGGTGACTTTTTTTTAGGGTCTATCCTATATGGGGCTCATTGAGCTTCTTGGATGGTCAGCTTTTAATCTTCATATTTGCAGTTTTCTCCCAACAAATCTTCACCAATCTTCTCTGTGTTTTCCAATTTGTCCTCCTGTTCTGGAGCTCTGATCACGCACAAAATTTTTCTCTTGATTGTGTCCCACATATTTTTTACGTTTTCTTCATTCTTTTCTCTGATTTTTCCTCAAAGTTGAGTCCATGAATTTGTCTTCAATCTTGCAATTCTGTCTTCCATTGTTTCAAATTTGCTCCTAAAACTTTCTATTGAGTTGCCCCGTTCTGAAATTTTGTTGTTTATCCTTTGGATTTCTAGTTGCAGTTTTTGTATCATTTCTAATTTTGTATTTATTTTGACATTTTGTTCTTGTGTTATTTTCCTGAATTCTTCTATTGCTCTGTCTGTGTTTTCCTTGATTTTGGTTACATTTTCATTTGTTTTATCTATGTTTTTCATGATTTTGTCTGTCTTCCTTGATCTCTTTCCTAATCTCTTAGAAAGTCCTAAATATTAACCTTTTGAATTCCGTATCAGGTAGTTCCACTGCCTTTTCTTTTACTGGAAGGTCATCTGATTCTTTATTTTGGTCCTGCTGGAGCCATGTTGTCCTGCTTATTTATATGTTTTGATTTTGTCTGCTGTCTATGAGACATTAAGGTATTATTTTCTTTATTTATAGATTGTATGTTCATTTGTTTTGTCTTGCTTTATTGTTTTGTTTTGATATGTCAGGGTGGGTGGGCCAGGTGTGCTTTGCTACTTGCTCATCTGTAGGCATGATAGTTCTCACCACCTTGTCCAGGTGGGCAGGGCAGTAGCAGGCAGAGTGTACACTGTACACTGGTTTGGTGTGGTGGCTGAGGGCGGACTGGGCAGGTGCTGTCTGTCTCATAATGTTGGTCCAGCACTGTGGGAGCTTTCACAGCTCCTTGCCAGATAGGTGGGGATGTCGGATGGGGAGTGATAGGGGCTCCCTTCCCACTGTTCAGCAGCTGGTCAAGTGGCAGGAGTGGGTACAGTGCAGGCCCCGTGTAGCAGCTGGCCTGATCATATGGGGTGTTCTAGCTGCAATGGCACATTGGAGGCCAGTGGGAAGGAGTGGTGTATGGGCTAGGGTTGGAGGGGGGGAGAGAAAGAAAAGACAGAGAAAAAGGAAAAAGAAAGGGTAGCTGGCAGGTGAGGGCAGGGTAGACCTGGGAGCTGACTGGAAACTGGGGGAGGTGGCATACGAGGCTAGGTGGAAGGTAGAAAGAAAAGAAAAGAAAGTAAAAGATAAAAAGAAAAGAAAAAATAAGTGGTGACACGGCAGAGGTGAGGTGAACCCGGGGCAGCAGTGGGCCGGTGGCTCTCCAGCCATGGTGGCACAGAAGGGTCTGGCAACAGGGGGTGGATGTGGTGTATGGGGTTAGGTCTGAGGGAGAAAGAAAAGGAAGAGAGAGAAAAGAAAAAAAAAACCGGCAGTGCGGTGGGTGCTGGCAAGTGAGGGCCGGGGTAGACCCAAGGGCTGGTTGGAAGGAGGGGATATGATGTGTGGAGCTAGGTGGGAGGGAGAAAGAAAAGAAAGAAGAGAGAGAAACAAAAGCAAAAAAAAAAATGGAGGTGTGGTGGGAGCCAGCAGGTGGGGCGGGGCAGACCCAGGGCAGCCATAGGCCAGTGGCTCTTTAGCTGAGGCAGTGAGGAATGGCCCAGTGGGATGGGGTGGAGGTTGTATGGGGCTAGGTGGGAGGAAGAAAGAAAAAGAGGAAAGGGAAATAGAGAAAAGAAAAAAAAGTGGGAAAAATGGCAGCATGGGAGGATCCAGTGGATGGGGGCAGAGTAGACCCTGGGCTGCCATGTGCCAGTGGCTCTCTAGGTGAGTGGCACAGCAGCACCTGCCGAGAAGGGGCAGAGGAAAAAAAAGGAAGAAAGGGAAAGAGAAATGAAAAACAGTGGCTTAGCAGGAGCCAGCTGGTGGGCGCAGGACAGACCCAGTGTGGTGGCAAGCCAGGGTCTTCCTCATTGGGTAGCATGGCATGATCCATCAGAAAGGGATGCACACGTGGTTAGGTGGGAGGGAGAAAGAAAAGGAAGAAAGGGAAAGAGGGGAAAAAAACAGCTTGGTAGAAGCCGCCCAGTGCGGGTGGGGTGGATCTGGAGCGGCAGTGAGCCCATGTCTCTCTGGTGGACTGGCCGTGACTCATTGGGAAGTGGTGGATGCAGCATACAGGGCAGAAGGGTGAAGATTGGAAAGTGTATTTCTCTGGTTACCAGGTGCTCTGTCTTCTGCTGAGAACTCTGTGAAGTTGCCTTCCTGTACTCCCTGTCCGGGGTTGTTGCTGGCTGTGCTCCAAGACAGAGAAGTTGTGCCACTTTGGTTGGTTGGGGATCTCCATTCCATATCTCTCTTCATTCTCTGTTCTCCATCAGCTTCTTCTTCCATTTGGTGCTTGATCTAGTTCTTTATCCCTTTATTTGAGCCTTAGGTTTCTAGGATTGACATTTGTATCTGTTTTACTTAGTTTTTTGGGTCTTTGCAGCAGAGGGGCTGCATGGTGCTTCTGTCTATAATGCCATGTTGGCAGTTGGTTCTAGTCTGTCATTTTTAATATATTTTCTTGTGATTAGGAAAAAGTCTAAGTTACTTATTTCTTCCCTGTGGCTTTTAGCTTTCAGAGCTACCTCTACATCTCACTGCCAAATTTAAAAAAATAAAATAAAATGAAGATTCCAGTTCTCTCATGTTACCCACTGCCTCATGTCCAAAGTGCATACTCCAAGACCAATCACCATTCCACATATTCACCAGTTCCCCAGTCCTCTTGATTTCTGAGCTTGGAACTCATTTCCCAGATTATGGCTTTGCTCAACCCTTAGACCTAAAACTCTGTGCTACTTTACTGGCTTTGAGTTTTTATTTCCTTACTCAACCATAATTAATGATCATCCTCCAATCTGTGATTTTCCTGATTCTATAAATCACTCAATTCCACGGTTGGCAAGGGGCAATTTTTAAGTTTTTAGGCATTTTGCAACCTGGTTATTAAACACAGTCGTTATTAAGAAATAAATTGTATAAACTTTATATTGGGTTAAATGTATTAAAGCAAGGGTAGTAATTAATTAACACTCATCACTTCCTAATTATTTGACTACATTTTATTATTATCTATGTTCTTGAGGTTATTGTGCCTATTGCATCTATATGGTGAACATACTGTATAAGGATATGCGACTATGCATCTATTCCCAACTTACCTTGGTAGCCTGAATCAGACATGGTGGTAGTATTTACACCATCAAAATGATCAAAATATATAAATAATTTATTTTTACTTTTTCAGAGAGCTAACTGTAAACATTTATCAGCATGTCACTGAAATAAACTACAAGTCCATTCTCTAAGATAAATTGGTGTGGATCCAAACGAGCAGAGAAAAGTTAGTACCTTCACTGAAGAAATCTCTTTTCTGGGCCCTTCATTACACCTTTCAGTAAGATTCAGAACTCAGGAAAGCAATAAAAAGCAAATAAAGAACTCTTTTACAAATACTGTAATCAAGGCAGAGAGATTTGACAGGCACTGTGAAGAGGGGATAAGGGAGACTTAGCTGCTGATGACCTACTTTTAGTAATGACTACTAAATCTCCCATGGAAGTGTTTAGCTCTGACTATAAGTATAAATATAAATTAGATTTCAATCAGAGTACCATTTAAAGGGCCTGTGCTTCTTAGGGGGAGGTATTTTAGATAGACTTTGTTGTTGTTAAGTGTCATTGATCGGTTCCAACTCATAGCGACCCCATGCACAACAGAACTAAACACTGCCTGGTCCTGCATCATCCTCACAATCATTGTTATGCCTGAACCCATTGTTGAAGCCACTGTGTCAAACCATCTCACTGAGTGTCTTCCTCTTTTTCACTGACCCTCTACTTTACCAAGAATGATGTCCTTCTCCAGGGACTAATCCCTCCTGATAACATGTCCAAAGTATGTGAGACAAAAATCTCACCATCTTTGCCTCTGAGGAGCATTCTAGCTGTACTTCTTCCAAGACAGACTTGTTTGTTCTTTTGGCAATCCATGGTATATTCAGTATTCTTCGCCAACACCACAATTCAAAAGCAACAATTCTTCTGTGGTCTTTCTTATTCATTGCCCAGCTTTCACATGCATATGAGGTGATAGAAAACATCATGGCTTGGGTCAGGCGCACCTTAGTCTTAAAGGAGACATCTTCACTTTACCCTCTACTTTACCATGATGTTGCTTAAGCAACATCATGATAAACACAGTAAACATTGAAGTTGTCAAGGATTTCATTTTACTTGGACCCACAATCAACACCCACGGAAGCAGCAGTCAAGAAACCATATGATGTATTACATTGGGCAAACCCGCTGCAAAAGATCTCTTTGAAAGTAGAGGGTCAGCGAAAAAGAGAAAAATCCTAAGTGAGATGGACTGACCCAGTGGGTGCAACAATGGGCTCAAGCATAGCAACGATTGTGAGAATGGCACAGGACCGGGCAGTGTTTCGTTCTGTTTGTACATGGGGTCACTATGAGTCAGAACAGACAACACCTAACAACAACAACTACTTTACCAAGCATGACGTCCTTCTTCAGGGACTGTCCCTCCTGATAACATGGCCAAAGTGCATGAGACAAAGTCTGGCCATTCTCACTTCTAAGATATAGATTGGGCATACACGTGCACAAGTTGCTCAAGTTGGTAATAAATTAGATTTTACTTAGTACAACAGGCCCAACCTAGCTACAAAATTATGGATGAGTTAACTGACTCTATAAATAGGAAGACTAAAATCTTGGTGCCTTTAGCAGATATAAACTTCCACCATATATGGATAGGGTCAACATTCTTTAGCTTTGTTATGGCATCTTCCTTGTTAAGTATATCATCAGCTGAACAAAACTATTTATAGGAACGGCAGCTCTACACATTTAAAAGAGAGATTCAAAGAACCCAATACCCATTAAATGGTTACTTCCTAAAATTCTTAAGGGTTATTTGAGGCTCTTGGCTGCTTGATATTTTTCTGCACTTTGGGGAGCTGAGTCTCAGGTTAGAGACTCTGCCCTCGTCCTTGAACGCTGGGCCAGCAAGAGTTGGGAATGCTATAAACTTTCAACTGGTGCCAGAGAGAAGGTGGAAGGGCTTTCTTCTCTTAACCACAATCCCAGCAGCCAAATTAAGGAGTGGCATTACCCCAGTCCACACAGAGTCTTGCTGAGACTACTTTTACTGTAAGTACAATGTCTCATACCAGGAAGTATTCTAAGTGAGGAATGTGTGAAGTGTGCGTCACATCACGGCTGTTTTTGTGGCTGAAGCATTCTTTAAAAACCTGTCATCTGAGTCCAAAAATGTTCTTATTTAATTAGCCACTAGGTGTTTTTGGATAAATAAGAGGCTCCCTTCCTTTCTCTGTGAACACAATCCAACTGGGAAAGAAACATCACTCTCTTAAAGTTTTTCATAGTACAACACCCATTCTTATATACCTTATGCATTCTAAATAGGAAAAAAACAAAAAAAGAGGCAAATCTAGCTCAGATATATGGCAGTCACAAAAGGAAGCATATAAAAAAGTAACCTAGGTCAAAAAAATTGTATCACAAACCCAGCATAATAACTATTTTTATAATTTTACTTTTCATTGTAGCAGGCTTGGGGAATACCTCGAGTTCAGGTTGTTAACTGGCAGATGCTATTTATCAATGAAACAAGAGATGGTTGAAGATGGACAAGAACGGTAAGAACAGGGAGAGAGCAGTGCTAAGAGTGAGGGGCTCAGCGAAATACATAAACGTTGCCCTAAAGGGTTTTTCCCTATTTCTTTCTCAGTTCTCACTAAGTTCCCTCTCCTACTCGTTGATGACCTCACTCCCACCCCAAGCCCCCATCCTGGACCTCTTACTGCAACATCTTGTCAACTACTTCTCCAAATCATGTAATTAACAGATAAGACTAACAGCAATTATTTAAACCTCTCACACATTTTTTTTTTAAATTATAGAGGAATCTTGAAATCAAACAAAAAATATTCTCAAAACCCAAAGGAAAATAACTTTTATTGTTCAGCATTTTGGGGATGAATGTCCTCATATCAGGCTTCATGAAACAGTACTGGCAGTGTCAATACTATCTATTATGATATTGTGTGCTGGCCAGTGGATTCCGACACATAGCCACTCTATCCGACAGAGTAGTACTGCCCCATAGGGTTTCCTAGGCTGTAATAGACTACAGTCTTTATTATAGGCCTATTAAAAGTTTTGTGATTCTAATCTTTTTTGAAAATTAGCTAAAATGGCATTTGAAATGTGTCTATTTTAAACTAAAATGTCATAAAGCATTAAAATGAGGAATTTAAAAAGGCTTATAACTAAGCTTTTCTTAAAAAGTTTAAATGTGTTTTATATTGCTCTTAAAGCACTACTTGACATATAGGTCACATGTTTACTATCAGAATAGCTTTTTCTGCAGACTTAGTTAAGCAGCCAGCAAAAAGGCTCTTTATTTTTAGAGTTAGTCTCTTCAGCATTAAATACCAATTTTACTGTCTGTGACTCACAGTAAATGAAGTGTTCCATTTTTGTACAGTTATATTGATAGTAATTTGACAAAATACTTTTTATTAAGCAAGTTCTAGCTAGATAGGGCATTTGTAAGCTGCTCTTCCCAGCCATCCTTATTTTGAACTTCGTAAGAGTTTTGTAATAACAAACTTCCTTGACTGAAACGCAAGCCTTCCATAATTACATGTCACAGTGCAAATCTTATCAAACGAGTTTGTGGGTTGCCAAATTTAGGACAAAGTATGATGTTTCATCAGTGAGAGACTTAGTCTTGGTCTCCCTTGATTCCATAAATGGGGGTTCCAACTTCAAAATGAGATCCTTAACTTACAATTATTTTCTTCATTTTTGTTCTTAAGTGAGAAAAACATACAAATTTCTGGCATGTTAACAGAAGAACTTCAACAACTCTCTCCCTGACATGAAATGTTTAATTCATAAAGCCCATGCTTCCTATCCTTAAGAGGTTTCCTAGGCAAGGCTACAGTAAAAACAAACTCTCTTGGCCTATGTGCTTACAAGTTTGTAAAACCTGAGTGATGTCTTTGGGAATGGAGCCCAGGAAGGACCAGGATCCCAAATGTGTACTTGTATTTGCCCCAGAAATAGAGGGGTCCATGCTTTGAAATGTTCCAATGGAAAGCCAAATTTGTGGTTTACTGTAATGAAAATAGTATCCTCCTGCTTGAGGATTACTGACACACACTCAATGCTGAATCAACTCTGTAATCCATGTAGTTCAGAGCAACTTTTTTGGTAGAACGCTCTCAGATCAACACGTTGCAAACTTTGGTTTTCTCCTAAATAGTTGAAAAACTAGCAAATTATCAAAGGATAATTTTTTCTTAATATTTTTTCTTCCATAATTACAGTAAAATTAACTCTGAACTGTCCTCTTTTAAAATGCTACTGCTATTTCAATAGTCATATAAGCTTTTCTGACTATCTAATTCTTCATTTCTGCTTTTGGTGATTATAACTTTGGTAAGACAATTAATTTTGGTTGCGTATTTTCACTGAACTTTTGATGAAATTTTTTTCCTCTTTATTAGCATAAAATCATCAGGAAAGGCTTCTAAAGCTAGATTCCTTTTAAGAAGGTAGGGAGTAGGGAATGACACCAAAATTTAAAGTCATTCTGACTAATTCTTGTTAACTGTTTGAAAGTAACTACCAGGCGATTTCCCCGGGAAAACCTAATACCAGTATTGGGTAATCTCAACTTTAAGTAGGACGCTTAAACTTTGCTACTACTTCTGGTAGCAGAGTTGAGAAAATTCCTGCTGCTCTTCTTCTCTGTGACATACGGTACAAGGGTTGGCCCTGGTTTGGTCCACCTGCCAGCTGAGTTTAAAGTTTCCGAGGCTTGGAGGAACACCATGACTTGGATCAAACAGCCTAAATGAGAAGAAAGGCAGTTGTGCTGCTTCTAGGAAGCCGTTAAACTCTTGCTAAACTAAATCTTTCTTTTATGCGTCATGCACACGACCGACCTCCTTTTCCATTGAGCAGAGATTATTTCAGACAATTCAGGATATCCCGAAAGCTTGGACACATATGGCTGGAAAATGAAGCGACCTAGGAGTGTGGCCACATCATTATTTTGTTGTCGCGCGGTACCAGATGGGCAATCGGTGAACGGCGCAGAGATGTGAGCGGACAGTTTTACAGTGTGAAGCTAAAACTGATTGCATTCCCCTTTTCTTTTGGTCTATGGTACTTGCTTTTCCCTCCTCTGCAATATCGATTAACTCAACTTTGCAGTACGGTAGCCAAAAAGGAAGAGCATGAGGCGATCTAGATCATCGTAGCAAGTGTCGGCGGCGTCGCAGCCCTCAGGGAGCTGCAGCTGCGACCCGCCGCGTCCTGTACGGATTTCAGGGCTGACACCGCGCAGGCGGTTATGAAGCGGGCGGTGTGCTCGATCCGCCGAGGCTAGAGACCCGGCGCCGGAAGGGCTCCACCAATCTCGCCGCAGCCTACGAGGCCCCGCTGCCTCTCACCTGCTGCGTTTGATTACCATTTTCACGGTTCTTGAAAAGTCATGGAAGACGGCCCGCTGCCAGACCTCAGGGACATCGAGCTGAAGCTGGGGCGCAAAGTGCCCGAGAGCCTAGTGCGCTCGCTCCGCGGGGAGGAGCCGGTTCCCCAGGAAAGGGACAGGGACCTCTGCCGGGGGAGCTGTGGCGGCGGTGGCGGCGGCTGCAGTAGCAGCAGCAGTAGCTGCAGCTTCCCTCCCTCCTTGTCGTCCTCCACTTCGTCCTCCCCAACCTCTGGCTCCCCACGACGTAGCCACTCCAGCGCCCTGGAGAGGCTGGAAACCAAGCTTCACCTCCTCAGGCAAGAGATGGTAAGTGTGGGGCGCCAGCCACGAGGCTGGGGGTCCACGGCGGGAGATGGGACGATCGGAGGACGGGGCCTGGGGGAGAGGGTGGCAGGGGCTGATAGCTGAGTGCTGCGCGCGTGGGAAATGAGGGTTGAGCAGCGCGCAGGAGCGCGCGTCCAGAGGCAGCTGCGGCGAGGCTTGTTTACCCCGGACTTTGCTCGGTTACGTTTTGCTACTACAGCAAAACCCCTGCTGTTGTACTTTCTGATAGCGCCACCACGCTGGCCACTGCGCAGCCTCCCAGCATCGGCTCGTTGAGGGTCTGCAGTTGCTGCACCCATGTGGGGCCTGCTGTGCGCCGTCCACACTTCGGATAGGTTCAAAAGGTGGCCCAGTTAATTGCACTTACAGCAAAGGCACTTCCTGGTTTGCCCGGAGGTGGCGCGGCGGGGGCCCTGCCGCTCTGCTTTTTGCTCACTCCTCTTCCAGCACCGCCCTCCTCTTGATGCAGCAGCCGCAGCTGCTCCAAGGCCACTGTTGAGCTGATCCTCCACAGCTGGCTCCGAAAACAATGGCTCACTCGTCCCTAATGTCCTTATGAATGGCTTGTCTCAGTGTTTTGATCCAGGCAAGCAGGTGATCCCCAGGCTCAGGGATTTGCTGATGAGCACTTCCTACCCTTCCACCTCAGTCCTCAGTCTGCAATTGTTTTCCCGGCTGTTTGCAAACGTTAGCCTAAGAATACGACAATGGGGCAAGTACAGGGGCTGTGATACTTGTTATTCCGGATGTACTTAGACGCTTATTTACTTGCTATGAGCTCTTAGATAAGTCCCTTCGCCACTGTGGACCTCAGTCTGTTTGTACAATGAGCTAGTTGGACGAAACGATCCCTTCCTAAATCCTTTGACGAAAATGACCACAAAGCTACAGAACAGAGGAGGAAAGTTGCAACTGCGGGCCTCAGTCGGGCATGGGATGGTGAGCAGGATATCCTACATAAATGACCAGGTGAAGTTGGGGATTTTCATGAAAAAGAAGTAACCAGAGGTGTTTACCTAGCTCCTCTTTTTCTGCAGTTGGAAGACTCCAGAGAGAATAAGTTCCAGACCTTCAAGTAATCTTGGCAAATATATTAGAACAAAAAGTCAGTTTTCAGAGGTCATGTCCTGTGTCTAGAATTTTCAGTCTATTATTTACACAAAGGCTCTAAGATGTCACTTTCAAAACCTCTGAAAAATATTTAAAGTTGATCTACCGAAAGCCTTTAATTTTTTTCTCTCAAGTATCCATTTTCTTCCCACGTGAAATATTCCAGATGTTGAAATGGGATACACACACATACATATATGCATGTGTAGTACAAATTTTTCTTTTACTATATTCATTTTTTTTTTTACTATCTAAATACACACACATGTTGTACATGCAGTCGCTGTGAGTCGGAACCAACTCAATGGCACCTAACAACAACAAATACCACACATACACAGGTTATACATATTTGTCATTCAACAAGTATTTGTTAAGCATTTACTATATCCTGGTAATTAACTGGGTGTGGAATACAAAACGAAAAAGTCAAGGGACCTGTCCCTTAGGGCTCTCAAATCCCTTTCACCCATTTGCCATTTATTGTTTGTACTATATCAAGCCAAATGTGTTGAAGAACTCTATAAGGTTAAAAAAAAAAGCTAGTTATTTCCAAGTAAAGAAACCTAGGCTTATTTATAGTTTTCAATGAAATGTCATATAGTTGATAAAAATCTATTTCCCAAAACCAGGTCTTGCTATATATAATGATCATGGTATAGTAATCACAGAAAAACAAAACAAAACAAAAACAAACAAACAGAAACACTCAACAATAGCCGCAATAGATTGCTAAACTGACTACTCATTACATTTTTTATGTGCAGCATCAGTGTCTATAGACATAGGAGCATTTTTTGTGAGAACAGATGTTTATATGTTAAACTTTGTATCCTAAGAAAGGTCTCTATTGAGCAAATGATAACATTGGCTCTGGGAGCTTCGATGGAGGGCATTGAAAACAGGTATATTCCCTTGCCAGTGAGACAGTTTTCCCCATTGTACATAACTCTTGTGGGTGCTAAAAACCCCAGCTTCAGCACAAATGCAAACCAACAGATTTGTTTTTATGTAGCTTGGCAGTTTTGTTATAAACACTGAACAGATGCAGTTCTGCAGTTCTTCCTGTCTCCCCCCCAGCATCCCCATGTTAGAAGTTGGAGGAGAGTTGGGCTATGACCCAATTGTTATTCTTATGTTCTCTTCTGCACTGTACTATGGACATTGAGTTAACCTCCTTAATATTATGCATGATCACATATTTCTTGATCATTCTTTTGAACTGTTCACAGATTTTTCTTCTAGGTTGTCTGGAGTTACCCAGCTTTGGACCTACCCTTGGAACTCCTTCCTATGAAACACTTTGCCATGCACAAGCCTTTCTAGAGACCTCCAGGAACGAAGCCTCCCTTCTTTTCCTGTTAGGATGGATATGTGTATCCTTGACATAGCACAGCATAGACTTGCAGGGAGGTTGTCTTGACACTTAAGGTTCTTTACATACAAATGATTTCATCATCATTGTCTCCCTCATCTCCTTCAGTCTTACCTGTGATTGTTATAATCACTGCCCTTACACATCCATAAGACCCTGTTGTAAAGGAGGCAAGTTGAAAAGGAGATTGAAGAGGGGGAGATTGATGTTTGTGGACAAACTTCTGCATGCTGGATCACTTATTGATAACAAATAGCACTGTACCCAATCAAGTGTGTGGGCTTAAGGGGAAACATTGGAAAAGAAAATCTGGAACAGTAAGTCAGTTTCAGAGAACAATCAGGATGATTTGGAGTGGGTGCAAATTTTCCCAATGTGGAGTGTTTTTCTTTTGAATTTAGAGATAAGGAAATTTGGCAGTGCCCTAAGCAAATGCAGAGGTACACGTAAGAAATTTATGATGAAATTGAAAATAAGTGACAGGACTCTCAAAGTCTGCCCAGTAATAATTGTTGGCTACTTTTCAGCTCACAGAGTGTTTTAATGTTTATCATATTGTTTGAGCCTAAGATCAAACTGGGAAAGAGGACGTATTTCCATCTGCATTTTGAAATGAGATCCTTGAGAAAGAAAGCCAGTGCCACACGACTAGTTAGTGAACAGAATCACAACCTGAACTCGTATCTTCTGATTCTAGGTTCTGTGCATTTACCACATTCCAGTCTGTATCCCCACAATTTTTTTTTCAAAATATGATATAGTTCATGTAATCTGTGATATTCTCTCGGCATACCCCAGAGTGGTAAACAAACAAACAAAAACCCAAGCCAGTTGCTGTTGAGCAGATTCCCAATCATGGCAACCCCAATGTCTGTCAGAATAGAACTGTGCTCTGTAAGGTTTTCGACAGCTGATTTTTCAGAAGTAGTTCACCAGGCCTTTCTTCTGAGGTGCCTCTAGGTGAGTTTGAACTGCCAACCTTTTGGTGAGTAGTCAAGCACTTAACCATTTGCATTACTGCTCAGAAAATCAAAGTGTAGTTTGGAATGGAGTATATACTACCTATTGATGCCATATTCTAGATCCTACTAGATTCTGTATGATCTAAGGATAGTTTGTTGATCTTTAGGGAATGCAGTGTCATTATCAAAACAGATTTGAAAATACTGTGTCCTGATTTCCATATTTTTGGCAATAGTTTGCATAGCAGCTATGTAATAGTGAAGCATAACATTTCATGCCAATTCCTTATCCCAATTCCTGAATACTTGCTTTAATAAAGTTTTCTAGGCAATACCCAGGCTTAGACACAAATGCACATGTGTATAGACACACATACATAAATGATACTAGAAGAACATAAATCAAAATGTCACAAGTGTTGAGAATGGTCGATTTAGAGTCAGTTTTTATTGATGCTTTTTCTTTTTGATCTTTTCCATGTTTTTCCCCTGTCATAAATGGCTGGCTTACGTTTGTAACGAAAATAAAAATTATTTCTCAATTCACTCAAAAAGAGATAATAATGTCATTAAATGAACTTCACGATTGCTTTGGACATACTTCACAGTAGGTTAGGAGATTTCTGTGGAGTTCTGTCATTTACTTATTTTCCCTAAATTGGGAAAAAATTAAGGAATATCCTCAGGTAAATAATTGAGAAGATGTAAAGTGGAATATACCAGCTTTGATGAGTCACATGAGAGCTGAAAAGATTAAGTGGAATTGTAATTTGGCCAAAGAAAAATTACAGACCAACACGTGAGTGAGTGCATGGTACCATAGCAGAACTCATATGTCATGTTGAAACTAATAGATAAAACTGAGGAGATTTTTCAAAGGAAATGTGTCTTGTACAATGTATTAAAAGTGCTGATAACTATGTAAACTAAGGGCTTAATATTAGAGTTGAAGACATCAAGGAAAGGGGGAAATCTGATTCCTACCAGTGCTGCTTCTGTCATTTGGCCCATGGAATGTTATCATATGTATTTAATCGAATAAATAAATCTTGTTGAAACATGTTTCCTTGCCAGGTGATTCACAAATTGACAGCAATGCAGACAGAGACCATGTGTTAAGGGTTGGCTTGTGGCTCCGAAAGAGATATGTTGAAGTCCTAACTCCTGCTACCTGTGAATGTGACCTTATTTAGAAATAGGCTGTTTGCAGATGTGCTTAGTTAACATGAGATCATATGGGAGTAGGGCGGTCCCTAATCCAGTATGACTGGTGTCTTTATAAGAAGAGGAGAGCAGAATGCCTTGTGAAGACAGACACAGAGGGAAGATGGCCGTCTGCAGATGGCAGAGATTGGAGTTATGCTGCCTCACACCAGGGAATGCCTGAGACCACCAAAAGCTAGAAGAGGCCAGGAAGGGTTCCTCCCTTAGAGCCTTCAGAGAGAACATGACCCCGCTGACACTGTGAACTGCCTCCAGAACCGTGAAAACAAATTTCTCTTATTTTAAGCCACTCACTTTGTGGTAATTTGTTA